ATATGAAACATTCGCATCAGTAGACATCATTTAAAAAATTGGAGAAGGACCTTGCATGTAAGGTCTCGTGCGTATACCAGCCAGTACACATCTGGTTACGTTAGTGTGTTAGCGCATGCGCAATATCTCACCAGAGCAGTTATAATTTGTGATGAATATACATTTAAAATGGTTAGGGATATCTCTGATAGACTTTCTAATAAACTTTTATCAGTAGACCAGTGTTTATAATTAAGAGAGCGCTCTAGCATGTAAGGTACAAAACACCTACTTTATGCCTCACGTCCTTTCCCTTGCCTCCCCGTCCCTTGCTTAGCCTCCTTCTTCTGTCTACCGCCTCTCAACTATCTTCTCTGCTGCTCTCCGTCTCCATCCCCCCTTCTCCGCCAGCAAGCTATATTATAAGTTTCCTCAGACGGCACTGCACGCCTAACACGATGCACGGCGTATGCGCAATATCTCGGGAGAAATCGTATTTTGCAAAGTCTATGCATTTAAAATTAAGAGATTATTCTAGCATAGATTTATATGATAAAATTCCATCAGTAGACATCATTTAATAATAGGGAGGAAGACCTTGCATGTAAGGTCTTTCGCTGCGTATACGCAGCAGCACACAATCTGACTACGTTAGTGTGTTAGTGCATTCGCAATATCTCACCAGAGGAGTTGTAATTCTGTGATGAATATACATTTAAATGGTTAGGGATATCTCAGCATAGATTTCGCGAACTGAACTTATCAGTAGACCTGGGTTTATAATTTAGAGATCGCCCTAGCATGTAGGATACAAAACACCTACTTTATGCCCTCGCGTCCTACCCTTGCCTTCCCTGTCCCTCGCTCAGCCTCCTTCTTCTTCTACGCGCTCCCAGCTATCTTTCCTGCCACCTTTCCTCAGTCTACCATCCCCTATTTCCCTTAGCAAGCATATTATAATGTTTGCCTTAGACGGCACTACAGCCTAAACACGTGCGCGCACATGCGCAATATCTCCCGTGAGAAATCGAATTTTTTTACAAGATTATGCATTTAATAATAAAGAGGAGTATCCTAGCATAGATTTATAGATAACATTCCATCAGTAAACATCATTTAATACATAGAGGAAACCCTGCATGTAATGGTCACCGCGCTGGGTATACCAGCCAGTACACAATCTGGCTACGTTAGTGTGTTAGCACATGCGCAATATCTCATCAGAGGAGTTATATTTGTGACGGAATATGCATTAACAATGGTTAGGGGCGTATCGCAGCATAGATTCCCTAACAAACTTTTATAGTAGACCTGTGTTTATAATTTGGAGATCGCCCTAGCATGTAGGATACAAAACACCTACTTTATGCCTCGCATCCTACCCCTTGCCTTCCCTGTCCCTCGCTCAGCCTCCTTGTTTTCTACCGCTCCCAGCTATCTTCCGCACCTTTCCTCAGTCGACCATCCCCTATTTCGCTCAGCAAGCAATATTATAATGTTTGCCTCAGCGAGCACTGGCAGGCCTAACACGGTGCGCGCACGATACGGCAATATCTCCGTCGAAATAGAATTTTGGAAAGATTATCATTTAATATAAAGAGGATTATCCTAGCATAGATTTACTCTGATAACATATCCATCAGTAGCATTCATTTATTACATAGGACGAAGACCCTGCATGGAAAGCTTCGCTGCATATACCAGCCAGTACACAAGTCTGGCCCTACCGTTAGTGTGTTAGTGCATGCTATATCTGCACCAGAAGAGTCATAATTTTGATGAATATGCCATTTAAAATGGTTTTAGAAGATATCTCAGCATAGATTTCCCGAATGAACTTTTATCAGTAGACTGTGTTTATAATTTAGTGAGACGCGCCTAGCATGTAAGTGTACAAAACAGCCTACTTTATGCCGCTCGCGTCTCTACCCCTTGCCTCCGCCTTGTCCCC